TTTTTATTTGTCTGTCCGTCTGTCTGATTGTCTGTTTGTCTAATCTCTGAAATGACTGGACCAATTTCGACAAGGCTTTTATTGGCAGGTAGCCAATGTAATAAGGAGTAACATAGGCTGATTTTATTTTATAAAATCACAGACGAAGTTGCGGATACAGATAGTTAGCAATACAAAGACATCTTACTATCTGCTAACTAGGTCTCGTAACATACTTAATATGGCCACTGGCTACTCTCTTCAAAGAAAACTCGTTCGACGCAACTTGAGTTATGTAGTAGACCAATTGCTATGCCTATAATGACAGCAATCACAGAGACCCGGGTGTACCGTCCAATTGATTGAAACTTCATTAAAACTTGTTTACAAATACTTTTACCAAATATTTAATTGGCGTTGCTCAACAGATGTTATATGAAGATCTTGTTTCGCTTCAATCTTACACGTAATCGTTGCAAATTTTTGTGGAATTCTCGATAGAAGAACGTAGTTAAGGAATGTAATTCCTACTGTGTCCTTTTATAGACAGTTGTGTCGTAGAATGGAGATAATTCTTGTTACGAGCACGACTGTTTTGTTGATGTTGATGAGTTTATGGCGGTCTGATATCAAGTCAAGGAGGTAAATGAGAGATTTGATAATTTTGGAAGTAACAATAGACCTGATGAAAGACAAATCTTGACTGTAACTAGGAAGGGAATAACCGGTGATGTAATTTAAAGTCACCACATTTTTCAATAAATATTGGAGTTGTCCTATTATAATTATAATTTAGAATTGTATTCAGATCTTAAATGTTTACAATAAATTTACATCTAAAACTACAAATAACTATTCTTGCACTGAAACTACTTAAACTAATATCTGTTCTTTGGTTACTATTTCAAGATCTGTTTGCCAGTCGGCAAAGGCCTCATCCAATCTTTTCCATTCTGATCGTTCTAGAGCCACTCGGTTCCACATTAGTCCTGCCACTTGTCTTATATCATCATTCCATCTTTTCTGCGATCTGCCTCTCTTCTTTTTGCCTTCTCTGGGGTACCACTGTGTCACTCTTTTACTCCATTTATCATTACCTCGTATTACGTGTCCAGCCCATCTCCACTTAAGTCTTTTGACTTTGATTGTTACATCTGTAGTTTTTGTTCTACTTCTAATAATGCAGTTTTTCAATCTGTCAGACTTTTTGTTGTCCTATTAAATCAAGTCAAAATTTACTCAGATGTAACTGAAATCTAAAAATTTGAATGGAGAACTAATTTAGATTCGAAACATCGAAATCAATTTACAACTCCTAAAAAAGCAATCACCGATTTTGTTTAATAAAAAGGGTTTGCAGATAAAATTAAAATGTCGATACATTTAGTGAGAGCAGACCAAACGAGGAAAAAGTCAGCTGTGCAAACTATAGACATAAAATCTGTAAGTGACGGGAAAATTAAACAGCCTTGCTCAAAAGCCCTTTGTACAAAAGGTCATATAGGTAATTTTTGACATTATTTTTGAACTCCATGTAATTACGAGTGGCAGTTCACACCTTTCATTTTTCGATGTTTAATACTCAAAGTGCTGTCGGTCTTTTGAATTGGCCCATGTGATATTATTAAAGTGACGTTCGTTATTTTTTTTAAAGCTGTTGTTGACGTGTATTGATAAAAAATGCATTACATAAGTTAATAATTATTTTTGGAGTACTTACTTTTTTTCTCAATAGTAATTAGGTTAAAAAGCCTTACAGATACGTTGGAAGTTGATGCTTTGTAGTAAGTAGTACATACAAATAGTCTTAGGTTTTTAGAACTGTTCTTTGGCTGTTTACATTCAACCATCATCGGAATATTTAACTTTACTCATGATGTCTGCTATACTGGATATATATGCCTAATTCCAATCATCAAGGTTGTATATGGCAATAAGCTTACCCCCTTTTACATGGGACTCATAACATAAATAGTGAAAAGTGAGTGTTACATTGTGCAGTGGCATTAAGTGCCGTAATGTGCAATTATGCTTACCCATTCGGAGATAAAAGGCGTGATGTTATGTTATGTCCAATTACCATCTCAAAATTATTTAATTTCCAAAGGGGAAAATAATGACGTCAGTGTGTTAATAACTCCCATCCATCCAATTTACTCTTCATAGAGCTTCATTGCAGATCATTTGGTTAATATTTTGGTTAGCCACAGGAATGTAGTTATTACGAATACTGATATTACTTTCATAATTTATTACCAAAGTTTTTATTGATACTGGTTTCACACTTTGAGTGCTGCTGTTTGCATTGCGGTTTAATTGAGTGTTTCTTAGTCCGAAATGTCTTAGTGGAGACTGGTAATGACAATTTACTTAAAATGCCACTACTGCCAGAAAGTCGAAAGAGTCTAGAAAATTCGAAAAAGATAAAGAAAAGTGTAATTGAGCAAATAGTTCACTTGGTGGTACCGTGTAGCGCATAAGCGAGTGATAATTAGCGCGTTCATACGTTGGTATTTCGTACAAAATTCTTAGAACATATCGTTTATGACGTTTTGATAAAAGTATTGAATTTGACTACAGTATATTTTAGAAATAGAATTTAAAATTTGGAACTTTATTGATATTGTAATAAAATCAGTATCGTTTAACCAAATATATTAAGTATATTGTACGAAATAGTTCCTCACAAAATTAGGCTGCATATTGCATTGTGTTGATCTGTGAGCAAAATAGAGTAGTTTCCTAAATTTTACTTTTATGTCCGTCTGGTGGATTAATTTAGATAGGTCTTTTTTCTTTTCTTACAAAATTAAATGCTTTCGATGATATATTGATTTGAAATGTCGTGTGACGTCACAGCGTGCAACAAAATGTAGCACGTTGTGACGTAACTACCTCCCAATCCTAAACTTAAATCCATTTTATTTAAATATTATATAATAAAATATAATAAAAAATATGTGTGTAATATTATTTCATTATCTAACTGACGGACTAATTAAATTTTTATTTTTTTACCCTGGAAACTACCCTATTATAGAACGTTTATAAAGAAAACTAACATTGTAATTTTTATTCTTAGACATTACAAAATAGCGCAGTAATTGTATCTAGTCATTAAATTAATTACGTAGGTATATAATATTCTTCTACCTGTAATATATTTCCTTCGTTACAGCTGCACTTTTCCCTGACCCAATTACAATTATCTATAAATTATTATTCATTTTATTCTGCATTTACTATGAAATAATAGCTCACAATGGTTGCAGTATGTTACAATGTAGGTTACTGGATCGATATATGTATTTTATAGTTGGTACTTGTAGAAATAAAGAAAAGAATAAAGGAGAGTACCATTATATATTAAAGTGTTTTAATATGCAACCAAACAAATACTATAGTCGGGTTTAGGCTTCGTTGTGTTTAATTTAAAAATTGAATACTCTAAATAAAAATAAACATCATTGCTTTTCATGATCATGCTCGCAAAATAATCTGCTGAACTTTTGGAAACTCCAAATTCGAGCCAGCATTTCAAGGTAGGTACGCTAAATTGTACGAAGTAGTTTGATATGCGACTATGTCTACATGGTTCTTTAAGCGTACCTATTCGCAAAATAATGTCTCGTCGTTGTATTTTTTTTTTGTAGTGATTCGAATTTCAATTATTGCTTTGACAAACCAGTTTTTGTCATAGAGTTCATTGAACTATGCTTTTTTGTGACATATCTACGGAATTTCGCATGTTCATCCTATTGTGTGTTTTTGTTTATTAGACTAAGATTTATGTTAGTAGTTATATTACTATAAGTACCTATATAATTCTAAAATATTCGTACAATAACTGTTGTGAGACATACCAAATTAATATGCTCCTGTTTGTACCTAGCGCAAGCAATGCTGCTAATCATACTTTTCCTAAAATCTACTTTGATGTAAACCACTTTCTAAACAGTCAACTATGCAAGTAAAATGTCATTTAAAAATACATAATATTGCAGACCATTTAAATATTATCGAGAATTTTATCATTTATTATTTTGATTCTATAAATTGTATTGTCACACATCGTCATTCTAGACTAATAACTACTGTCGCGGAGAACCTAACGGGTTACCGGGGCTCCGGCTCGACGTGCAGGAGAAGGAACTGGGTGGTTTTTAGTCAGGAAGAGTCTGACACTCCCTCCCGCCTCATCCAGGCAGGAGCAGATTCGATGATTTTCCCCCCCTTAAAAAATAAAACTTACAACTATTGAGGATTATCGGAACAGTACAGTAAACGATAAATAAAAAACGCTACCACCGTTAATAATTACATGAAGAATGCAAATATCTTAAGCAATAACTTCACTTCTTATTTAACGAACAGTTCACTTAATTCGAAAATCAAGTGAATCGCATAAAAAAGGCGATTTATTTACAAAAATATGCGCGGAGAGTGTTATTGGCTATGTAGGCGTGCGATTTGCGTTCGTTGCGCAAGCGCACGTGATGGCACTTACGCCATTTTGCACATCACCATTGACCACATCCTCATCATACAAATTGATGATAAACGTGTGTTTGTACGCGAGTAGCTTAGAAGGAAGTAAATGTGAAGGAGAATTGAAAATGCTAGCAGTAGAACCGATATAGGTAGAAGATATACCAGTAATGACACCAACTTATTTTTCCTATCGAATGACATCAATTTATGGGTTTATCGGATACTGTTGGTGTTATTTGTACTTACTAGAGAATAGTAAGTACTTTTCCCTTTGTATCATCTACATCCGACACCGAACAGAAACGAGGTACACAGAAATGTAGCATAATGATGATATAGCAAAGCTATGATAATCTCAATGACTATTCATCATTCAATAACTAATCTCTATGAGAGGTTTCTCTTACTAGATCGAGAAAAGAATTCTAAAAGAAAGAACTTCTGCACTGGAACATGCGTGACAAAAATTCTACGCAAAAACGGCATCTATTTGAACTTTAAGTGCAACGCAACCGCACTTAAGGCATGACCTTAGTAGACGTGACGGACGAGGCGAGGCGATGTCGTAAGGCGAAGCGCAGGTTATCACTGAACATCAGCGCAAACATTTCCCAGTTGCGTCATTGATGCAAAACTAATGGGCATTCTTTCTATTTAAGTATAGGCCTCCAATTAAAGTGAAACTGACATTACATTACAAAATTACCGCAGTATATGTACTTTAAATGCACTTGTTTTTAATGGTTTTGGTATTAGGGTTAGGTTGGTTTGATATTCGAAGCAAGATATGTGTGAGTAGAATATATGGGTACAGACTCCATGTCATTATCAAGTCTTGGAAATTAAATAATGTTTTGATGGAATAAGCCGGTAAACCAGTCGACGGATCACCTAATGGTAAGCAATCGGCGTCGCCTATAGACACTAGAGGCATTATAAGTGCGTCATTGGTCTGTTGTTGATTAGGAATTTTAGGATTATTGGGGATTCAGGGATTGAGATTGGAGAAGGGAGATAATTGGGCCTGCGGTAACCTCACTCACAAGACGAAACACAACACAAGCGATGTTTCACGTCGGTTTTCTGTGAGGCCGTGGTATCACTCCGGTCGAGCCGGCCCATTCGTGCCGAAGCATCATTCTCCCACACTTAAACAATTACTATTTTATATACAGCAATGGAAATATGAACTTCCTATATCAAATGAGTCTTAAAATGCTGGTGACATCTGTCGGAGATTCTAATATTAAATTCTTTTATGGGTCCAATATCTTTAGGTCTATGATTGAAATAATAATAATTATGTTTCAAATCCTGTAATCAGTATGTTATATATATGTTTGAAATACTCGGATAAATATATATAATATATAGAGGAGTTACCCAAAAATATGTCCGAAATAAATCCATATTAATTCCAAACGCAGGCGCTCTATTGCGTTTGTTACGTCATACATGCGCCAACGCTCATCTGTGGTGAAACTCGCTACTCTGTATACAAGGCAGCTAATTGAGATCGAACAATGTACCCTATTATAATGGGACTATTGACACAATTCCCCTGTTTACAATTCTGTGAGAATTCACTCAAAACTTGCATAAAGAGTCATGAGACAATGAGGACTGTCGTTGTTGTGTGCACCAGATAGTGGTAATGTAGTATTTGGTCCTGTTTGTTCAATCATTACTATTGTTAACAATTCTCTAGCGAATACCCTATTTGATCCGGGAGTCATATTCGAAAATGACGGTTTTAATCCTATGTCTATTTATCTATAACAAACCCACAATGTAATGGCTGTTTATAAAACATACATTACTATTTACCCTATATACTTAAATAGCGATAAGATACAATACGTAATGTAAATAGGGCCGCCAGGCCGCCCCCGTTAACCCGAGAGATCACCTCAATGCACGACCCGGCCATCGAACCCGCGACCTTTGCAAAGAAAGTCGTTTTATGTAACCAATGCGAGTCGCAAGCGCACAACTTGTAGAATCCGATATTTATACGAACATATTTCCCTATAACTCAGTAAATACTAGACAGATATAGATATAACATTCTAAGAAAACAAACTTTATTTCATCAGCTATGATTTGGTTAAGGTTACGTCGAAATGGGTGCAGCCGTTTAGGAGATATGAGTGTTTTTAAAATTTTAATTTATGTATTGCACCGTGCGAGGTTGTGTCCGTGGCATTAAGTTCACTCATTATAATTTATCTGTCTGATTGTCTGTCGTATCGATGACATAACAGTCTCCGAATTCGAGAACAAAGCCTTGTTTTTATATTCCGCAACTATTTGTGTTTTTTTTTTGCTAAAATTTTATTTCAACATTTTGCACACACTATAAAATAGTTTATTTTTGTTTCAGAATTAAGCAAGAGATAGTTTTGGACATATGACGAATGACGACGTAAAAATTAAGTACTACCATGATATGTCTAAAAGGGGTCACATATTTGCCTCAAATGAAAAAAAAATATTAAAGCAACGAAGTATACACTATCGGAAGCGTTCAATTAATCAAAATTATCTAAAAAACTAATAGTGCTGCTGTGTAAGAATAGTACTTTAAAATTTTAACAATTTTAATCTATTTAAGTTTTAATTTAAGGCAAAACAAAACCCATTCACAAACACAAACAATACCCAAATATTATATTCAAACAAAACACCATAAGATTCATCACTATCTGTCAACCAGTTTTCGAGTTACGCACACTCGTTAAACATAAACATACAAAACAGTAAAAAAACCACAGATCATTAATCACACAAGGTCGTTGAGTATGACTGCCTGTTAATAACGTATTATGCTAAATAGCCGAAGTTTAAAAAAGAAATGCATCTGCATTGCAAGAAGTTTCATAATAACGAGTTTTTATGTCGAACGCCTATTTTTTATATTGTGTGACAATACAACTAGCTGGCGAATTGGGGGTATGGATTGCTACATTCGATTTTTAACATAACATCACGTCTTTTATCCCCCATGCGGTAGGCGGAGGTGTACATTACGGCAGTTAATGCCACTGTACAATGTAACACCCACTTTTCACTATTTATGTTATGAGTCCCATGTAATAGGGGATAAACCTATTGCCATTAACCGCGCACAATTCCAGACTCCGTGCGACTACTGAGATTTTTTGAAAAAGCCCAGTATTATTTAGCTCGACCCGGGAATCGAATCCGAAACCCCTTCGTCGTAAACCAGTCGTAATTGCAAACATTCGGCCAACGATTTTTAAATTAAAAAAAAGTTTTGTTTTAATTTTCGTTTTGTTTTTCTAAGTTACTAATATATTAGCGACGGTGGAGTAAATAACATTTTTCACAACTTCTTCTCACTTCCAGGTGCGACTCCTGGCAAGAAGGATATACTGAGCAGCAGCGCTATAGCTCTTTGGTAAACCTAAACCTTTTAAATTGCGACCTCCAACACACCTGGCAAGTGCAGGGCTCTCATATGTAGAATAATCCATTCCGGACTGTTCCGGACTGTGGAAGAATATCAACTGTGAAAAATATGAAGATAATTTATTATAACAAACTTTTATTTATATAACAAAGAACCACAACTGAATAAAACAAGACAATACATGTCAAACAAAATAAATAACCATACGTCTTTTGTTTTGCAAACAAATCGTTTAACATCTCGAGTATAATCTCGTTTTTTAATCGATTAGAAATCTTCGCTCGGTCACTCGTCACTCGCTTCCTACTTTGTTAAGTTCCCACAATTATCTTCGAGGCATAGATTAAAAGGTAATTATTACAGACGTGTCAGTTGATTAGAAAACTGGTAAGTAAAATAAAAAATATTGATTTTAATTTAGTAATTGGACTACGTTAGCGAGTGCAAAAATCTGCATGTCATTTAAATAAGAAAAAAATTAACATATATGAAGCGTATGTTAAGAAGTTCCACATTAAAGTTAAAGTAGTCTATAGTGACTAAAAATCCTGAACAATTTTTTTAAGGGGGGAAAATCATCGAATGGCTGTTCCCGCCTGGGTGAGACGGGAGAGAGTGTCACTCTTACTGACGAAAAACCACCCCGTTCCTTCTCCTGCACGTCGAGCCGGAGCCCCGGTAACCCGTTAGGTTCTCCGCGACAATCCTGAAGAACAGAATCATAAATATGCAGGTAATTAAAAACCCCATATTACTCATAAGCACGAACAATGTCAGAATGTAACTATATTCGAAGACAATACAATGAATGATACTCCAACCTAAGTAAAGACATCTACAGAGCATAAGTCTATTATACCCAAAGATTACCAAAAGCAGGAAATGACCAATAATATCATGTCTAATCTTTGTACCACGCGTGGGAATCCGACGTACTTGAACTTACTTTCGATTGTATATCTCCCGACAAAGATGTGAAATTGTAACTCCCATCTTCAAACCATTGTCGGCAGGTAACGATAGTTATTAGTTGAGCAAAGTACTGGTTTATTTGAAAATGATGGCCGTTGGACGTTTGCCAAATGTCTTTGTACTTAAGGGCTTTCCCTAATGGTAGTTTGTGTAACGTAACAGTGTGATATGCAAAGGGCGACTGATGAGGTAGGCCTAAATGTTCAGAGAGTGAAAGGGTTTGTATAAGTATCTGTAATAATTGGGATGACTCATTTTGCTCGCGGTTCATAAGAGCTGACTGGAAACACACACGACAGAGCAGCTGCATTCTCTGATGAGCTGGAATTTTCTAAAATGTACTATCAAGACTATGGCTAACTTTCTTATGTTTTATTTCTTGTATAGAAACACTAGGTATTTTATATTTATTTTCAGTATACATGTGTGAGCACCATGTTAGACTATAAGATATGTCCTTTTTCTTTGTTTTGTTTTTCATTGTAGTAAGTTCTGTAGTTTGTATTATGCGTCAAGCGTGTCTTCACATTGTTCTCACATACATATATGTACAATATTGGAATAAGTGAAGGAGGCATTGTAAAATAGACTTTTAAAGAGTAACTAATGGAGTTTCTAGCTCGTTCTTCTCCACTCGAATCTACATTTTGGTACGAGCGCCTAGCTTTACTGACGGACAGACTAAAATTCAGTTTCAAAAGTACCAAATTATGGTTTAATTAAATTAAACGTTTTTGAGTTTGAGTTTAGAGAAGGTCTTGTGGGTATTGGGTTGTCAAGACAAGACTATTAATAGTGATGATGAATTAAGTACGATGATATAAGTGAAAAGGTATCTATTATCAAAGACAGTTGTGTTAGTCACACTATTTGTAACTCAAGCTGCTAAATCGATTTAGCTAAAAATTGATGGAGAGTTATTCTAAAACCAGGAGACTAACATCGGATAGTTTTAATCTAATGATTTTAAGTAAATCCTACGGGCATGGGGATAAACAGGGTTGGGCGAACGAGGTCGCGGGCAGAATATTCTTTGATAAATAATATTTTGAGTATTTATGTAGTGGTGTAGTGTCTAGAGATTGTTTAAGTGTAATAATTAATTTTGATATTTTAGTTTATAGAATGAATGTGTCTTTCAAGAACATGTTAAAATTTGAAGTTGTTGTTGTTTGTTGTTCTTGTTTCAATCTGTTTAGTGTG